AAACCAATTGAAAGTCACCAACTAACCGAACTTTTGTTAATCCCCTCGTACATATATATTTATTGCTCTGTAGGGTAAAACAACCACTGAATAGCAAAGTAAATAATTTTAAATTTTTTTTCGATGTATTGAACTGTTTTATTCTACAAGTTTGCTTGGGTTTAAAGATAGAAGTTGAAAAAAAAATTGAAGTGCTTTTGAAATAATATTTGTCACATATGTATGTATGTACAATAGTATTAGTTTATATATGTATATTATTATTTTTTTTTTTATTAAAGAGTTCAAACTACTGACCTTCCTGCAGGCCATGTGTTGTATATATTTAAATACCAATATACGCATATATACCGCCATTTGTTGTTCACAAATACGAAAAAAACATACCACAAATATATATATATAAATATGTACATATAAGCATGCTTTCAATTGCGTGGGTGCTTATTTGAGTGCTACATAATACCTATATTGCAAGTATACACATATGTATATATATATATATATATATATATATATTTGGTATGTATTGCAGTGATGCATTTTTGCAGCATACCAACATTTGACGCTTTATCCACTTGCCCTTATTTGTTCCTTTATGTTACACAATGAAAATAATATATTATATATCTTTGATGTATACAACATTCGTAAAAAAAAAGCTAAATGCATGTACAGACATGCAGACATTTTGTACACATTTTCAAGTGTAAATGAGCTAACTGCACGCTTGTGTTTGGGCGATACCGAAAACAATGCAAAATAAAATGTGTAAAATGCTTTAAAAATGTGCACTTGCTCTCTGTAGCTAACGCCAATTGTAGCAAATGTGTTTGAATCGCGCTTTGTTTAGACTTTTACCTAAGAGAATTACATTTTTTTTTAACTTTCTTTCGTTTTCCAATGACTAGCCAGCAAGTAGAAAGAGCAAAAAATTATCAGGAAGCGGAAATTTTCTCAGTCTGAACTCGTGAAACGATGCCGTTGATGAAGGTCGTGCGATGCATTTGAAACAGTCGAACTAATTCGTTTTTAATATTAAGTTTTTTTTCTATGTGTGTAAAAAAATACGGAAAAAATTTGAAAATTCCAGATTTTTGAACTTTAAAAAAATCACTTGTTTTTTTTTTTTAAATTCACTTCAAATTGCAAAAAAAGTAGTTTACTTGTTATGATATTTAACGACACGTATTTTTCAATGCAAAACATTCACATGGTGCAAACCATAATTATTTAAATCTATTACAAATATTGTAGCTTTATTGTTTATTTAGCTTTTTTTAGATCCGAAAAAAAAATTTTTTCAACTATTTGTTTGAAAAGAAAGGAAATTATGTTGCGGTAAACAAAACTTACAGACTATAATGTATTAACTGTTTTTAGTATCAAAAAATGTTTTTTCTATTAGAATTAAAAAATACCGCAAAAGTTGTAAAATTTCAGATTTTTTCGAAGTTTGAAAAAAGATTCACTTTTTTGAAACAACAAAAAATTACTTCAAATTGCAAAAAAAAAAGTTTAAATAATTTGATTTCTTTCAATCGTATGTATATATTTTTTCCTTTCCCGTCACCATTTTCTAAAACATATAAAGATGAAAACTTGAAAAAACGGTCTTCAAGGTTTAGCCCGAACAGTCCAACCTGTTCGATGCTCGGCCACTAAAACTGCTCAAGCTAGTAATAGGTTACTGCAGGACATGCCGAGGTAGCTATATGACCTTTCTCTCGAAACCTCCTAACGTCGGGAGAGGACTTTACTTTTCAATTGCCTGTTCAGTCCAAATTAGCACCTGTTAGCAAGAGAGATTCTGCGCTGGATTTCGAGGCTAACAGATAGACGAAACTGTTTACGACCTCTAAGTTATGACTGTCAACAGTGACGTAGGAGCCGAGTCGCGAATGGGATGACTGTTTGTGTGATGACAGGAAATATTTCGTCTTGCACTCGTTCACTACCAGATCCATATCCCTCGCTTCCTTATCTAGTCTGGAGAAATATCAATATCATCGGCGTACGCCAGCAGCTGTGTACTCTTATAGAAGTTTGTACCTTCTCTATTCAGCTCTGCAGCTCATATTATTTTCTCCATTAATAAGTTAAAAAAGTCCTACGATGAGAAATGACCTTGTCAGAAACCTCGTTTGATATCAAACGGCTCGGAGAGGTCTTTTCGATCCTGACGGAGCTTTTAGTATTACTTAAAGTCAAATTACATAGCCGCATAAGTTTCTCGGGCATAACAAATTCAGACATAGCGGCGGAAAGGCAGCTCCTATGATGAAGAGGTAAAGGGTGCCGATCCTCTTTTCACGGGTCTTTTCCAAGATTTAACGCATGGTGAATATCTGGTCAATGGTTGACTTACCAAATCTAAAGCTACACCAATAAGATCCAATCAGCTTGTTGACGGTCGGTTTTACTCTTTCACACAATACGCTCGACCTTATAGGCGGTATTAAGGAGGCTTATTCTGCGATAATTGGTGCAGACTGTGGGATCCTCTTTTTATCGTCAGACTATATTCTGCAAAGTAACTGATGCATGCATCTTGTGAGTTCTTCAGCGCCATGTTTGAATAGTTTTTCCAGTAGGCCGTCAGTTCCAGTCGCTTTGTTGTTTTTTAAGCGGGCGATTGCTATTCGAACTTCTTCATGGTCAGGTAATGGGACGTCTTTTCCATCGTCAGCGATTAGGGTTTGGGGTTCACCCTCTCTGGATACTGCATTTTCACTGCTATTCAGCAGGCTGGAGAAGTGTTCCCTTCATAAATTCAAAATACCCTGTGTATCGGTGGCTAGATCACCTCTTTGTGTCCTGCAGCAATCTGCTCCGGTATTGAAACAACTAAACTTGCATACTCTAATATTCACACGCAATATTTGGCATATATAAAACGTAGTGAATCAGTGGATTTTTTATTTTTTTTTTTAGTTAAACAATTTTTTCTTCTGCCACCAAGACCTGATATTTCATATACTTAATTTACAGAAATCCGAAGACTTAATTCCAAAGTATACTAAAAGTTGAGAAAAAAATTAAAAAAATTAAAATTTTTAATCACCACATATGCGTATAAAGAATTTAAAAATTTGTTTAAAAATAAAGCATTCCCCTCCCATAAAGTTTCGTGACAAAGAATTGATTCATTTTTATCGTATTTTCTTCTGGGCTAAAAAAAAATAAGCACATTACATATGAATATACGAAAGGTGTGGAATTATTTTTCAAGCCTCAAACAGAATAATTTGACATGGCCAACATACCCATATACGAGTATATACATACACTATTCACTTGGAGTATGAAAAAAAGCGGAAAAAGTGACAAAACACGCATACGTGTATGTATTTTTTGTATGGAATGCTCTCTGTTCATGGAGGCTGTCTTTGAGACTTTTAGTTACTACTTGTTTATGCACAAACAGGCATATCTAATTACTTGTCAACTGTCAGTGTTGTGTCCTTTTAAACAACCACAATGGTGTTATGTTTCACACACAAAGATTTTTACAATTAAATGTAAGCTGTTGCTATGCAGAAAAGTTGACGACATTTTTAGCTAATTTTAGTAGTTTAATAATTTAAGGCACTAACTACGAACAGACTAATTAATGGCGAGGAATGTGTTTCCTTTATATGTGAATAAACCAGAAGACGCTAGCCATACGTTGTTGTTGTTACTTACATCTTTATGCAATTTGGTATTATAAAGGCGGTGATAAAGGCAAAAAATAATAAAAAAATCTAATTTAGCTTCAAATGATGGAAAATATTAAATTTCTCATTATAAAGGGTGTTGTTTTAGACATGTGGGTTTTAAGAAGAAGTAAAACGTGTTCCTGAGCGAATTCACATAATCCCACTAATAACAGTTCAGCGGAGCTGCATCCCACGATCTTGGAGGTCACATCACGGACCCACGGAGCGAGATACAGCGCTCACCAAAACATTCTTTCAATAAATTTATTTTTTCATTGGCTGTATAGATTATAGCGCTGTCTTGTTGGAACTCAAGTTTGTTCACAACCACATTCTGCAATTCAGGCACAAAAAAGTCATTATTCATGGCACTTAGCTTTACCCATTGACTGTAAAATTAAGGCAGGGTTAATTTTTGAAGAAATTATTCTCTCTGTTCATAAAATACACCAAATTAACAGTGACTTTTTGTGTATATAATGGCATCTCAACCATGGCTTATGGATTATCATCACTTCAAGTGTGATAATTTTGTTTATTCAACCAAAAGCCATCTTAATCGCTGAACAAAAGTTTCTTGTGAAAGCCGGAAGCTATCTAATTTGCGGCCCATTCACGGAAGGTGCGACGCGTTCGATGGTCATTCGGCGACATTTTTTGGAAGAATGGTATTTTGTGTGCCCATAAGCTAAGATACCGTTGAATAATCTTCCATAAAGTGGTTGTGCACAGCTCGGATCTTCTACGTCTTATCCAATAGAGTAAACGTGGTGCAAAACTGATCTACGGTTGCTCATATTAGCGTCTCTGCTGGGCGTTGTGCCAACCGAATGTTGGACGCAGCGCGCGATACGTCGCGTAAATCGAACAATAATTTTGGTAAACATTGTTCGGGAGTAAGCCTGCTCATTATGAAATGGCAAACCAAACTGAGTGTGACTCAGGGAACAGGTTGGTCTATAAGGCCAAGGCATTCCCTCATTGAAAACCTCACGTCTAAAATAAACATACTTTTGTATAATAAAGATTTCCAACGGAATATTATTAATAAAAGTAATTATTCAAAATGCATTTTCATACAAAATTTTTCAAAAATAATAAGAATAAAAGCTAAATTAAAAATATTAAAAAAATATATTTAAAAAAAATATAACTCTTCATATGCACATATTTGCTAAGCCTGCTAGTGTGTCCACGGAAGCTCTTTGATTATTAATGACCGGAAGCGATTAGCAAATATGTACATACCAGCGAAATTAAATTAAAAAATATTTCTAATTCCCATTAAAATCCCCCAAGGCATACACATACATGCATACATATAATATATAAATATGTAGCAGTGTTAAGGTAAACACATGAACCACAATGAATAGCCACTATCGTACAAAAATCAAAAAATAAAAAAAAAAAAACAAAATAAAATACAAAAAACAAATACAAATACAAATAGAGTACCTGAGGAGCATTGTTGTAAATGAATGCCAAGTGAAAAGTACAAGTGATCAGCAGGACAAAACAACATTGTTGTTATGCAAGAATTAGTGTTAAATTTTTTAACGAAACTCAGTTGTCATAAAAATGGCCATCAACATATTAGATTATGACCATTACGCAATCAGTGCGATTGTTACGGTCAGCATGCAGATATTATTCTTTCTGATCAATTCCATACTACAAATGGATAAGCTGACGGATTTCGCTGGTGGTGTTAATTTTATAATAATTTCGCTGCTTACATTCTTTCTTGGACAAATTGATAGACCATCGAAGGTAAGTGAAAATTTTGAATTTTTTCTATTTACATATTTACTTATATATATTTATGTGAATATATGAAACTATAAGGTGTATGCAAAATTATTGTTAATATATTATTGTTATTATTTTCATAATATAATATAATATAATATTCGTTTATATTTTATTATTATTATTATTATTATTATTATTATTACTCACCATTACACAAGTACGTTTACCATTTATTTTTCATCCATTATGTTATTATTTTTATAATTAATAACAGATAAATCTATTCAAAGTACTATCCTTTATGTGTGTATGTGCTTTTCGGTAACAGGCTTTTGAGTTATGCCAAGAATATTAAATGGTTCGAAGATTATACGTTAGCAAATTCAGCTTTGGATCAACTGCTTTCAGCTTACACAAAAGATTTTGCTACCTAACATACGTACATATGTATGTATGTATATGACATAGTGCAAGAGTGCACATTTTTGAATTTGCTTACATATGCGAGCGCCTGGGCAAAGATACCCAGCAAACATTTTAATGAAAATAATTTAAATAATGTTGAAAGTAAATTTTAGTTTATCACTAATATCGGCCATGCCGAAGTTTTCATTCCAAAGATGCTTAACACACGCAAGGATATAATACCATTTCGTCAACGAAATAAAATCGTTAACGTTGAAACCGTACAAAACTTATCAATACCGTTAATTTTAAAGTCGCTGCTTGCTATGATTTAACGGCTTAATATTAGGTTAAGTAAAAGGTTCGTTCAGTTTTTTGTTTTATTGATTTTTCAAAATATGATAACTTTGTGTACATTTGTCCGATTTAAGTCAAATTACACCGTTTTGAGCATTTGCGCTCGTTGTTGTTGTAAGTAGCCCAATTGCCTGTCACAATCCTCTTGAGAAACGGGTCGATTTCGTTGCGATTCAGCAGCGATTCGTAGATGGAAATTCGGTCCATCGTGTTTTTTGCGTTAGTTCGTGTGGCACCAAAACATCGAGCTTCTTTTTGAATTCAACGTTATGCAAACGATTCCAAATGGTTTTCTGACTTATCTCTATTCCTCAGCAATTAAATAAGTGCTCACGTGACGCTCTTTTTTCACTATTTCCATGATTTTATCGCAATTTTCGACGACAGACCTCCCGACGCGTGGTGCATTTTTGACATCCGAATTACCGGAACGGAACCCAGCAAACCACTTTTGTGCTACACGTTCGTTTACAGTATCGGGCTCGTCACCTTTTTCGCCTTGATCGAAGCAAATTGTAAAATGTAGCGAATTTTCTCTTTGTTGGTGTCCATCTTTGACGAGCGCTCACAACGCGCTGAGTCAATCAATCGAAAACCTGTCAAAGACAAACTTTTAGTGCGAATAAACACGTTTTGAGTACATTCGATGTACAGTACGACATAATACAACACGTAACACTAGTACTACGGACAGTAACGCCATCTCTTAGATAAAAACCGAACGAACTTTTTACTACACCTAATTAAAACGACAGCTTTTCGTTTCGGTTAAAAAAAATTTATTTTGAGAACTGTTTTAATGTTAATATTTTCAAATAGTTCAACCGAAACCAAGGAAATTTTTCGATTAACGTGAAATGTATCGTTACGATGTAGCCTCGCTTTATACCTTTCATGACCATCTCAAATTATTATCATTTCATTTCAGGATAAAATATTAATTCTCATATCCGAACATATAGTCATTCGATGCGCCTTCAATGTTAAATACGGCTTTAAAGCGACAGCTCTTTAAGGTTCTCATTATTTTTGGAAATGGGAAAAAGTCATATGCAATCCTGTCTGCCGAAATGTGCGCGGGTCAAATCGATATGTCAAAATCATGATGCAATCGATATGTCAAAATCATCAAGGAATTCGTTAGCTATGATTTGGCATTTTTCTCACCTTTTGTTTTAATTTTCAACGGCTCTTAATGTGCTGGGTCTGCCAGGGCGTTTGCCATCTTCAACGCTTTCACGGCCTTCTTTGAAACGCCTGTGCCACTCGCAAATTCTTGCTTTATTCAGCGCAGACTCAACATAATATTTCACACACTTTGCCAAATTTAATTCTATTTTTACATACAATTTTATTTATGTAAATTCACCGTTCGCTTATTGGAAGAGTTGGGAATGTATTTTGAACTAATTTATTTAATTTCACTCAAATGAAAAGGAATTGCAATACATTTTTCATAATATTGACTAAGACTAAAGAAATCTGTTTTCAAGACTAATGATCTCTTTTCGGAAATCGTTTCCGTATTATTTTACTATAAATATGTTATGAATCGAAATTTCAGGACATCTAGAATAAAAAAAATAAATAAAATAATTAGTCCTGAAAAAAAGCGAGGGTTAAAAAAAAAATATTGTAAATTGGAATGACCAATTGGTTTTCTTTATGATCCCTCCTTCTGCGTTTTCGTTATATTTTGTTTTATGATCTTCGCCTGGGTATAATGCTTGTATTTACATTACCTTTCGTTACGTAATTTTTATAAACAAGCTTGTTGGTGTTAATAGAAATTGTTGAGGTTGTCTGTTAGCGGATCTCTAATCAAATGCGTATAACTTTTTCTTTCCCATGGTAAAAGAGAGCTTGAGGAAAAAGTCCCCTTCGCAGTCCCAGATGCTCAAAATATATATCGAAAGTGTTTTTCCAAAATCCACAAAGCGGCACACAATTTCCGAAACTAATTCTGTTGGTTGGTCGAAATAAAAGTTTCTGAGGAAACGACGGGCCTGACAGTAGCAGTGGTTGTGCTCTAGCGAATACTCCTCATCATGTCCCTGCAACTGCAACAATAGTAATTTAAGTCGTTAGAAAGTTGCGCATCTTGCTGTGGTCAGTCCCCATAAGACAATGCTTGCTTATTAAGCCTGTTACGGTGCTAGTGGAGGTCCGGTTTAAAATGTCTCTTCAATCAATATAATTTCTTTCTGCCGTATTCTATTGGCCCCACTGGAGAAGTCCCTCTTGAGGTATTTTAATCTGCAAAGAAGTCGTGCGCAGATTTTATGCGGTAAGGCATGCTTGCCGTAAGAGGCGACTAAAATCCAATAGTTAACGCGACAGTAGAGGTCTTTATACCGGAACGACACGGATTTTTATCCAGCTAAGGACTTTCGACCCCGCCAACATTACCCAAAAAGTACTTTGGAGAATATTTTCGCGGTTACAACAACAAAAACGTGGATTTTTATCATACTTCAGAATACCAATTATAGTAAAAATTTGACAAAACACAAAAAGCTGCAGAAACGTGTAAAAAAGAATGTGTGAGAAAATTGTCGCTGGCGTAGACATAGCTTAGGCGATTATAACTGAGTTATCAGCAGCAGGCAAATCATTTTTTTTGTTTCTTTTTTGCCAACAGGAAGTGCAGCCAGGCTCTTCTCGATCCGGTCTTTACAACGGAGTGCAAAGAACCATAAATCCTAGTCAAAATCTTTTGTATCGAAAACTCTCTACGCCGACTGAGCAGATGTAGCAGTTCTGTAGCAGTTCTGAGTATATCTTTTTTATTTTTCATGATTAATAAAGATATTTTGTGGCACATCTGTAATTGAAAAATAGTTTCAAATATATGTAATTAAAATGCTTTATGGGTATACAATTTTGTTCAATTAGTTTGTAAAGAGGTTAGTTTCCGGCTATGAGCCTACACATTCTACATATGCCTCAAACGAGTCAGCTCTTCATCAAGCAGCCTATGAAATTTGCACATATATACTGGGGTCAGATGCAGTGGTAGATATGAGCGGTAGGGTGGGCGCCATCTGGGCGTAATGTGTGCTCAGTTGCATTTTGAGGATGTCTCTTGTGTCAAGAGAGTTGACAGTTTTTATCTGCACTAAGAGTACAAGTTGTGTTTGTAAGTCAACACGTCTGCATAATTGCCAGTGTGAACAAAGCAGTTATATATGACGACAATGTATATAATTTACATACGGTGCTTAGTTACAATATACATATGTATCCGCATGTATATTTGTATTTATATGTACACTCTAAGCCTTCGGTATTACTTTATGGGCACTGCTTTGTCTTTGACCCTCTGAGGAAATCGTTATATGCGCAACAACGAAATTTTCTCAAACAAACTGCTCGTTAATCAATATATTGCTACAATGCATGTGTTGTCTACTAGTGCGTATATATGTAAACATATATACATATGTATGTTTGTAATGTAAGTGCAGTTTGCACTTGTCAATATAATGTTTGCAGCATTTGGCTTTTGGTATGCCCAAACAGGTATACACATACATACGTGTACGTACATATGTATGTATGTAGATAGGTATGTATGTGCGTAATATGTACATAGTACACACAGGAAGTGGGCATATTTTGATGTCACTAACAATGTAAAATTGCAACGATTCGCTGCACTGACTCAACTGGCAATTAAACACTTGTTCAAGGTTCCTCTAGTGCCACAGTTTCCTTCATCAATGTCAGGGTTGCGGCCTTCGAGCGGGGCAGGACAGCGATGGCAACACCCAATTTGCAATGAAACAAAATTTAGTTTACTGTCGGCTTATTGCAATAGAATATTGTTAATGCAGTTAGTTTTCACTACGATTTACGGCTTAAAAGCGCTTAAAGCTAACTTAAAACTCAAAATATAAGAGATCACATTCGAATTTATTGAACCTGTCTATTTATAGTCATATTTGTTTTCTAAGCATGTTATTGAAATAACAGTAAAGTATTTTAGTTACTTACCTGTCACATTCAACAGCCAAAAAATAATAATATATTCGGTAGCAAAGTGCTAGGAAACCTCAAGAAAGGTCATTACTGTTAGTTAGCATTGCTCAACAAAATTGTGTGATGAGTAAGTTTGTGGGTAGGTAATGGTTATTTCTAGCATTTTCTGCAAACACAGCTGACTTCGAGGCCTATTCGAGTTTGATTATATGACAATAAACATTTGTGTAAATATTACGTATTCAGAATTTTTATATCATTCACATATGGATGTG